GAGTGACACACACAGAGCACGTTGGCGTTCAGTTGATAACGACACTTTTCATTGGATAACGTCGGGTTTTACTGCACTTATTGCGGCTAACAGCCTGACAGAGCAGCATGTCTACTGCTAGTACCAGTCTGCTCCATTCAGACACATAAGTAATCATTTTGGATCCAGATCTTTTCAGCAGAACCTGAATGTTCCTGTATGTTTCTAAAGTTCTGTGTAATTTAACTAAATAAAGGCTTCACTGCACATCCAGTATACCTTGACTGCATCCTGTATTTTCCATTTCTTTCTATATATTATGAATTACACATTTAAAGGGGGGACTATGTGGAGGATTGTTGCTTTATTTACCCAATGAACTCCAACTGGTTCATTTATAGGTCTGTGAACCTGTTCATTTTTGAAAAAGTGAACTATGAACGTGAGCTAGTTCATTTCTATTTGTGTAACCTGAACTTTGAGGTTATTCTTTTAAACTATGAAATGACACAATAGTGATTAGAGGCAGGGTGGATATTTGTAATGCTAAACATTAGCATTCGGAGACCTAACGATTGGATGGCAAACAATAGGAAAGAGAGAGGGCGAGTGGGACAGCTCTACTCACTGCCTGGGAGAAGTTCAGCATGTAGCTAACGCCTTAACAAATAAAGAGATAACAGAGTAAAACAGTCTTTGATCTGTGAAAAAGGGGAGTTGATATTTCTTGGGAGCGGCATACTTGTCAATGGATTCTCCATTAGCCTGATTTAAAACATTTTTTAAATCCATCGCAGGTGTAGCAGCTTCAGTAGGGAGGCCCAGACGTCCCTCTCCCCAGCCACTTCTGCCAGGTCCTTCATTTGTTAACAGTGATGGGAGTAACGGCGTTGAAAGTAACGCCGCTACCTTTTTTAGTAACGAGTAATCAAAATGATTACTCTTACTGTAACTATAACGCAGTTACAATTGCCGACACCCCGATACTGCACGTTACTCAGGTCGCACAATTAACCTTTTTTCATGATAGGACTCATGCGCGCGTCATGAGAGAGTGGAGGATGGAGAGTGAGGAGGACTCCAGCGGCAAAACAGCGCTTTCCAGATGGAAATACCGGTGTTACGTCGAGCTGCGTTTCCCCATCAGATACGGTTTCCCCTGCATCTCCGCACAGCGCGGCGGCACGATTCACCGCACAAGCGACAGGAAACGAGCATGCTCGCTAAAGGCGCGTAACAGCCGCCCTGTGCTCGCCCTGTGCTGAACCCCAGTGGGCCTCAGCAGATGGCCGCTCACACTGAGCCTGGTTCTGCTGGAGGTTTCTTTCTGTTAAAAGGGAGTTTTTCCTCTCCACTGTCGCTACAAGCATGCTTAG